AAAAAAAAAAAAATTAATATGGACGTTAAAATTACACATGATTTGAATTCGAACGTTAAATGTTTCGACAATCTCGTCCTTTAATTTTATCTTATATGAAAATTATTTGTAATTTTTATATTTTTATCGATACTTTCTGTTACATGGAGATCCATGTTCACAAATATATAAAGATTAGGGATCCCAATTTGGATCCAAAATCACATTATTGAAAGTTTTAAGGAGTTCAACCTATTTTTCCTATATTTTAAAGATTTTTTTGGGACAGAAACTTTAATTAATTATTACTACTGAGGTTAAGCTACCCCTATATACATTGTTTGCTTTCCCCCTTTTTCAGCTGCATTAAGCGGTATAAAAGTAGATCGAGTCCAGCCTATCAAACCTTAGGGGGGAGCTGGCCTCTCAGGCCACGATATGGGCATGCTCAAATTACTCCGTCGAGCATTTTTCGACATGTTGAAGTTTGATTTATTCTTCTTTATGTATGTTTTTATTGAATTTTAGTTGAAAAAAATGCACATGCTTAATGGGTCAGACCAAGTCGAACCGGATTGTCTTACGATCATATCAACTTGTTCGATCCATCTGACCCCTATCGTATAAATGACATACTTTCTTGAGTAACTTAATTACAATATAAAATATTAGTGTTACCGTTACAAATAATGTTGACATATGAGTGTAAAAATTGATGTGTATACATGTATATTGACTATTGAGCATCATAATGTAGTATAGAAATAAACGTAGAATGTTATATTATTTTACTTGCAATTATTTTTCGACATGATGTCCCTCGTCATGTGAGCTGGTTCCCAAAACAATGTTTATTTTGATTTCATGTGATTTGAGTCCATTTTCTGAATTATTAAAAACGCACAATAAATTGTTTTAGTCAAGTTTGAATTTCCTTTTAACCGTAATTTTATTTTGGCATGGCTTTAATTTAATAGTATGTAAAGCTATACCTCGATAATGAGAGGTGGAACGACGAAGCTTTGTCATTGGTCCGGCCCGTTTGTAGACTTGCTCCAAGATGGATTGAATCAAGACATGACTACATAAAACAAATCTCAATTGAAAAAAGAAATATAAAGAAAAGAGGGTCACGAATTTTTTTTTTATTATTATTTTTTTACAAGGTGTCCAATTCTTGACTAATCCTTGGGTCTGTGATCCAGCCCCTCTTCACACAGTCCAGTTAATCGCGGGATGTGCCTCCAACTAGCCAGGGTCCGAGCCCTCCCCACCTGATCTGCCAAAGTGCCAATGAGCCAATGCCGTGAATTTATTTTAGTGGGTGGATAATAAGTACTTAGTAATTATAGAATAAAGTGTATGAATAAAAAATAGATTTGGTCAATTTAAATTATAATTTAATTTTTTTCAAATATAAATTCATGTATCTTTATCTTTGGAAATTCAAGTGGAGGTCAGTTTAACTCAGTGAATGTGAATGCAATAAAATATTAATTTTTGCTTAATTTGATTCATTCAAAATGAAAAAGTAACCATGAAATCTGGAGAATATGCATAAGCTAATCTATAGCTTGAACTCGGATAAGAAAAAGAGGAGGAAGATTGCTTAACTAATCTCTAGAAAGATAGGAGGAGGACCATCTTCGGCGGAGGGATTGTCCTAATCCTTCGAGAAAAATGATGATTTCTATTGATAAAAATGGGAGGTTTTCTCAATCAATTTTTAAGATTTTATGTCCCAAAGTTTCGAATTTTGGTGCAAGTGATTCTCTGGGGGATGAAAACAGTGATAATTTTGTTCTAACAATTACGTGTGTTTGCTTGTAATGACTTGTTTAAAAGTAATCTTTGTCTATCCACTCTATTTCCTCTGAAGAGTTCTAAAAAGAAAAGAAAAAAATAGTGGTGACACTTCCACCACCACCCATTATATATTAAAATGTGGTATCTATAACGATGTCCTCTCTTCTATGTGACCCACTTTCAATAAATTATATTTAATTTGAAGTGGGTCCCCTCCATGTGAGGGGTGGACACCGTTATGGATATTCTGTAGGAAAACAAGTCGTTAGTGGATGAAATAAATTGTATAAGTTTTATTCAATTGTAATAGTCTACTATTGAAATTAATAACCATAAGGCAAACGATTTCAATTTATAAAAAGAAATTTGTTTCGAAATTTTCCAACAGCTGAAAAAAATGTTTAGCAACACAAAATCAGAAATATAAGTTAACTGCAGGCTAAAATCGTAAACGATGAATCTGGAAGCTGCACACTATGAAACTACAAACTGCATGAATTAAATAGTAATGCGAAAATAATCTGTAGAAAGAAAACACAAAGTACAGCTGATTTCAAACCAAGGCCTGTGCGTGCACAATTTCCTTAAGAAAGTTTCGCCCCCTCACCGTGGGTGCTGGAGGTTCAGTTCGAGTGGTTGTCTTCCAGGATACAACGGTAATAAGGCAGAATCCGAGCACCGCGGTCCTACTCCAGCGAACTGATCTAATATCTGAACAATATCACCACAAGAACAAGACCTTACTGGACAAGGAATACAGAAAAGAAGAAACTTTGTATGCAGGAATGTAGGTGAGATTTTCGAGTATGTTAGATTGCTGGAGAATGAGCCTTTTTATAGGCATACTGCCCATTAATATTGTGACCATTGGGAGTCCATTGGAGTTACTTCCCATTAACACTGTGACCATTGGGAGTCCATTGGGGGGTTTTTTCAGTTTAGAAACTCAAAAGTCATTGGAGAAAGCCAAAAAAAATAAAATTGACAAAACGTGGGCTCACCGATGGGGTCATTTTTGCCTTGTTCGGTCCGACATTCACGTACGTAGGTCGCGCCCGCACCCAAGTTTAAGGTCCGAAGGCTATTTCAGTTCGTAATTTGCACTCCCCTGCGTGCGCACGTGGAGAGAGCCTCTATGCTACACATAATTACACATCGCCAAAGCATAGACATATATAAAGTGGTTTAAGTTTCCTTGATTTTTCTATGTGGGATAAGTGCATTTTTTCCCACAAACCAACTTCCAATGACCAACTTTGAGCTCCAATTTCTCACTCACCCGAGCTTCATTTTTGGCAAATAAATACATGAAATCGATGTTCTCGCAGAGGAGAGCACATATTAACTTTGATATTCCACATTGAACCAATGGATCCCATCAAAAATTGTGCCAAAAGTGAGTCGCTCACTCAATTTTTTCCAACATATTCTAATATACATGTAGCATAATCCTTTTATAATTACCAACTACTTATAATTCCCTGAGGTGTATGTTTATGGTTCTTTAGAACGATGATTTCACAAGATTTCCCAGAGGCATTCTTGAAAATGGAAGTTACATTTATTGTTTCCCATGCATGCATCAATTCAAATTACTGAAAATTACTCTCCCCATACCTCTTTAAATTCAATTAGGAAACATCTCCCACTAATGAATTTGTCAGCTGCGTTCACACATTTTTGTTGTTTGAATATTCATAATAATTTAACTCCCAATTACGATTGAGTTCATATTTGATATATATTCTTTAAAATTCATTTTTAATTATATATTCTTTCAAAAAAATAATTTTGCACATGAATTCAATATAGAGAAAAATCAGTTTCTTTCTTTTCTTTTGACACTAATTATTAAATTATAGTTTACCTTATTAAACAAGGAGTTTTTTATTAAAAATGATTGACGGCAAATTGTTAATTGAAGATTGTTCAAAGTAAAGAGTATATTTGTTGCCTCTATAACAACTTCGAGAAATGTATCACAGTTTTGTTCGTGAGTCCATAAGGTTCCACCCAATAATTCATAATTCCCAACCATATACAGCGACATTAAATGAAAAACATGAATTGCCATAGCGATTCCATTGACACAATTTATGTGTAAGCAAAATGTTCAAAAGACTCTAAAAATAGAACTCTCTATCTTCGAGAGTCAATACCCAAAAATATATTCCAAGAAACACTTTATTTTAAATTTTAACATGAAAGAGTAAATTAATTCTCCAAATTTGGAGAGCCAAAGTTATTATTTAAATTTAAAGACATTCTTTATAAATAAAAAGTCTTCTGGAGATGTCCTAAATCACGAACTCAACTTTTGACATTGCTAAAAATATATCCATAATTTTCAAAAATTAAAAATCAATTTGCATTATATTGATTGGCACTATATGATTATTTAAATTACTAAGGAGATTTCATTAACTAATGTTATCTAAGATGAGCAATCACATGTTCACTGAACTCCAGTCTTCAACTCGAAAACTAAAAACAGATTAATGTCGCAAATACAGTTTTCACTGTCGATTAGCTGCAAAACTTTTTCATAGTCCACTAAACTGTCTCACTTGGAAACTGTTTTTCCATTTTCTTTCTTACAAGATACATAAACATTTGAAGAATAGAAATTAGTTCGACTTAAATATCACCAAATACTCTCGCAGATATGATATAAATCAATCCTTGTACCCGTTACTCAACTTCCATGAATCTTCTATATTTGGCTGACTGACTGTAGCTGCTCCAAGTCACAAGCAAGAGACTGAATTTTGAGCTAAAAGAAAGAAAAAGATTCAAACCTCAAAGGTTTTACCACCCAATATATATATATATATATATAATGGTGTACAGATGGATGACATGGAAGAGTGAAAAATTAGAAAAGAGACGAAAAGAAAATAAATTCAATTATTATAATCTTTCTCTATCTTCCATGTTATCAATCTGTACACAATGATGTACAAATTGTATTATTCCAATATAGTATGGGTAAGTTGCATGAACAGGTACCTCCTGAGATCTTTGGGGCTTTGTCATTTGCGTATAGAAAGATCCATGTGCAGGTATGCAATGCAAGCAATGAAGAAAAGGAAAAAGGCAGAAACTAGCATCAATGGTTCTGCAAGCATAAACATTGGGTTGAAGTTGTAATAGACCTGCACAAGAAAAATGGTAACAGTGAGAGTCAAGCAGTCATGTGAAACATAAAGAATTAGAAAAATTAAAAAAAAAAAAAATTAGAGCATCTACAACTTAATTTTAGTTTAGAGAAAATATGAGAAAAGTATTCTCTTCCATCATTTTCCTCTTATTTTATATTACAAATGGAGAATGAGGTCAATTAATTTCAGCAACTCAATCAAGAGAAGATAAAATTCAGGGATCTGGGGAAGTATATAATAAAACCTAGCTTGTTTGACCATTTAGTCGCAACCATTTTTGTATTTTTATAAACATGCGATAATCAATAGCAATATATCGTAAGTTTTAAGTTCTGTAGATAAACATACCCAAATAAATCTTGCCTCTGGTAAACAGCTAAAGGTTAAATTCTCAAATTTAGGGTATCTCAGAGCTCTAAATGTGGTTGAATTTGTATTTTGTATGGAAGAAATAGAAGAATGATTCATCTTTATATTGATACTATCCTCTAATGATAACTAGAAAATTTTATCTTATTGGCACTCAATCGAACAGTTTCTTAAGCAGATATGGACAAGGTGATGCATGCTAAATTTTGCTATTATTCAGTCTCTTCTAGAGAAGAAATTCATTCAATGGAAGTGGAACAGCAAATCAAGGGTCAACCCTAGTGGATTACAGGTTTAGCGGATTCCCTTTCAATATGTAGTAGTTATTGAACGTGTCATTCTCATCAATGGTTTTAAAGGAACTAACCCTGAATTTGCATGCCTAGAATGGCATAAGCCACTCAATAAAATTTAGTACAGAAATTACCTGGAAAGGAACATTATGCTCAGGTACAACATTTTTCTTTTCCAGAACCACCACAGTCCTCCCAATAACATCAAGATACGAGTATTTGGTCTGCAGACAGCAGAGATCAAAATGTAAAGCATTGTAGTTAACAATGCCAAGTGAAATTCTGCCAAGAAATGAAATAGTCCAATCACCCACGCTACAGTAATAAAAAAATTGTTTCTTAGAATTGATTTGAAATTATTCATCCCATCAATAGTTACTGAAGAATATAGAGTTAAAAACAGATGCTTCTTAAATGGTGTGTCAAGACATCGGAAAATATAATATGGCTTGGCTTGACTTCAGTTGTGTCAATTATCAAATCTTTTTCATGAATAACACATTTAACACTGCCGTACATGTAACAGATTCACTTTCAAACAACAGGACCTACCTAAGATATCATTAGCCGTTGCAAATAAATTAAAGAATTAAGTAAAAGTTTTTTGCTAGATGCTTTTAGTAGAGTGGTATGACCGTACGAGTCATTATTCATATATAGTCAGCTTGCCTTAAATAAAGGACTCTGTTTGCCTCGGTGATAAACGAGACAAATTCTAAATGAATTACCTCCATACTTTGTTCTACTGTAAAAGGAGCTTTGACAGAAGGGTTCTTTGATCCCTCTGGAAGGACAACCTAAAAAATAATAGGATCATTAGAAAATTAATTTCCAGACAACAAAGCACTGAATTTTCAGAAACAACTAACTCATACTGCAACAAACAACTCATAATACAGTACAGACTTTTATAGTCAACTTGTCAACAACTGTCTCAGACAAAGGACACCCGAAAGTGTAATTCAGGTAACGTGAACCACCATCCGACTCGAAAAGGAAGTCCTGGAGTGGCACCCCGTATCCGATGATAAAAGTTGCTTTCCAGCCGCCAAATAAAGGATAACGTGGCTCAATTAACAGCTCCGACTGCAAAGAGAAAGAACATAATTCAATATGACCTTTTGTTTTTATCCTAGTTTGGCAAAAGCACGTGTCTTAGAATAACTAATTCTAGTTCTTACAACCTAAGAGTTCATAAAAATTTAATGCCATCAGCTCGCTATGGAGCATCTAATGATGAGCAGACTTGAGGTACAAAAATTGTTTATAAGAAATATCAATTTAATGATAAAATTATAGCATGTAGAAGAATGATGAGTCAAATACAAAGAAAAGACAAGATCAGTTTTTCTAAACATAAAATTATTTCCAGATTCAGCAGCCTGAAGTAGGATCTTGCCTTTTCCTTCTCTCTCCCCGTGTTTTTTTTTTTTTGGGAGGGGGGTTGGTGGGGGGCTTGTGGAAGTATTACCTTCTTGGAATTTGTGCGCAAACGTGATGACGAGATATTCCCTATATCATCTCTGTAGTAGACAGAATGAACCCTTGGGGGTAGCTCTGCAAGAAGATGCTTGAAGGAAGAGACACCACTAATGGAAGGTCTAGATTGATACTCAACCCTGCCAAAAGAAGCTCCACAAATTGATGAAATAAATAAACAAAAGATAAGAATATATGCGAAAAATAACATAGATGCAAGCATTGGAGTAGGCAAAAGTTTCAGTTCCAAGTTGGTTAAAACTTTTAGTCACAAAGAAAAGATCGTAGCCATTTTTATCAATATGTACTTGCATGTTAAGCAGCTCACATGAAAAGAAAACTTCAAACCGCAGCTAAAATTGGCAAAAAACGTTATTAACAGTAATTTTAATTCTCACACATATGATTATCTAAAGATTGGAATGCTACTCTACGTGAAACTAGTGTATCTAACCTTGAGAAAATGCCTCTATGCCTGGCACCAGCATGAGCTAACTTGTAATGCTCGGTAACCTGGATGCTGCCCCAGTGAGATATCTCGATTTCCCGCTCAAGCTCCTCAACAACAGCAAATGCGTTATTGTTCTCTAAATGAATGATTACGGGCGAGTATGAATAAGGATGACGGTCCTCATAAGGTCCATATCTCAGTTCTGTGCCCGAGCGGTCAGTAGGTTCAACTCTTGTGAATGATTCCACCTTTGAAGTTGGTGTCTTAACCATAGATGCCTGCTGTTTTATATGATATGGAGAGAGAATAACAGCACTATCATGGTAATAAACCAATTGAGACTCTGACTGGCTTATCTCTGCTGGGAATGGTTCAAGAGAGTGTGTTAACATGTAAAGTATTTCTAGAGTGATTGATTCAGCCTTGCCTAATGGTTTGAGCAGAGATATGGAATAGTATTTGGTTCCATTTGGTGCATCAGGGTGATCAGATGGGTTCACTTCAAGAGGAAGATATGTTTTCTTCTTCTTCTTGCCAACAGCGGCTGCTGCTTTGACCAAAGCTAGATGATCAAACTGTGCAGGCGAGAAGGCAAGAAGGACTTCTGCTGCTGGAGCTTCCCCAGTATTCTCAACCTGAGACAGCCAATTAGTAACATAAAATATATGCAAACTGCAATTTCAATTTCAAGTGGAAATTGAAGATGACCGTGCAAAAAAATCTGGTAAAACGTAATAAAAGTACATGTTCCATTGAGATTTGTGAAATCAGGACCACCCTTGCTTGTAACACGGTTCACATATTTTTTTGGAAACTAAATGGAAGATTTACGATGTGTGGAGTTCTTCCAGAACCTTTCACCCTACTACACAATCATGTACCTTTAAAGCCAGGGCATCACCACCACACTAATGTCTGCACACTGTGTTTCAGTTCCTAGACCATGCTCAGGATAAAAATTTTCTGGCATTACCCTTCCTCTTGAAATACCATAAAGAGTGATACAATATTAAAGTTTTCCACTCAACTTGGATTTTCACTTGGATCATAAAATTTCCACATTATTCATAATGTGAAAATGCAACATCTTTAGTTGTTCTTTAAACTGATCTTTTAACCAAAGCACATCCTACGTATGCGGAATGTGAAGTCCATCCAATTGTTGACCACCAAATCATGATGACCACAATAACGTTAGTTAGGAAGAAAAACAAGCTCGCAGCCATATGGAACATTGAGCAGTTGAAACAAAACTCATGAGACACCTACAGTTCAAATTTACTTCAGAACCAAATACTAATAGAAAATTTATTTTACTTCATTTCATCCTTTTCCTCTTTTTTATGATACAAATAGAGAATCGGGAGCATTAATTACAGAAAATCAATAAAAAAAGGATAGTTCGAGGGATCTGGGAAGTATCCATAAAACCAACTCGTTTGACCATTTAATCTGCTACAGTTTTAGCATTTTTTGAACATTAGCGATAAATTAATGGTAATTCATCATCAGTTTATGTTCTATAGAGTATAGACAGAGATTATGATGCCCATATACGTCTTGCATCTACTCAAAATCTAAAGTCTAAATTCTTGAGTTTCCAGACTATCTCAGATCGAAATCCAAATGTTATCAAATTTAAGAGGTGTAATTGAAAACCTTAGCATTGTGTTGACAAAAGATAAGCACACTTTTTCTTTATGTTGATCCTATATATTCTCTACAGATAATATTAATTGCAAGCACAATGAAAAGAAACCGTTAAGATATGGATGATGTGATATATGCTAAATATTCAGATATTCTTATTACTTTTTCTTCTAGAGAAGAACTTATGATGCTACCTTCTCACTGAAACCTCTACAAATTTCCTATTTGATTTGAGAATTCAGAAGGACCCATCACCTATTACACGGTTCACATATGGAAGATGTATGATACTACCTTCTTACTAACATTTCTCCCCGCCAGATAAAAGTAAACCCTAAAAACCCAAGTAATGTCGGTACCATGTACTCTTCTTGGACCATGCTCCAGCAGGATAAAAATTGCTCTCGCCTTCATCCATATTGAAATGGCTCGTTCGGGTAACAAAATTCAGGCTTTGCACCATTTTTTTATTTTTTATTTTTTAGATCCTAGCACTTAGGTATTCTTGTTTAATCTAAAACAGAAACATCCTTTTTAATTTGATTGTGATCTGATAATGCCGAATTTGAAGTATATCAATTTTTATCACCGACATTACAACAAAACACCAATAACACATTAACACGTACTTCTTCAGAACTGGCGCAAGGAAAAAAAAATCACAAATTTAAAAAATGGAAATTAAATTAAGATGAAATATAGGTTAGGAGCATACCTTCAAGGTCAAATAAACCCTAACAATATGCGAAGTCAAGTCAATCTGCATAAAATTAAACGATGCACATTCATGATCTATAAGAAAACTGCTACATAAATATATTTGCATACACCAATTAAAATTATAGTTTCTTTCAAAAAATAGTAAATCAAATTGGTTAAGAAAATAAAATGTGGAATTTTTACCCTGCGTTCAGCTGTAAGGATCTGGAGGTTCGAAGAAGGAGGAGAAGACGACAACGTTTTCACCAGCAACATAGAATAGAAAAAGAGAACAGAGAAAATTATTGCTTTTCGGAAGTTCGCCGTGGCTCCCATTGCTGCGTAGCGTAGACTTTGTTACTGATCAGTCTTCTCAGGGCATTTGTGTGTGTGAAATAACGCCGGGAAATTTACACAAAAGGCCTCGTCAAAGTGTTACGAAGGACTTGTACTGATAAAGCCCAGGCCCTTTTTTTTTCTTTTTAAGGAAAAATGAATTTTTAAATAGTGTATTGATAAGAATGTATGGTTAAAAAATAAAGAAAAATTTTGAATTTGGGTGTAATATTATTTTATTGAAGAATGTGTGATTAAAATAATGTCAAAATACTGTTGAAATACGTATTTTTTCAAAAGAATGGATCTCAAACAAGAGCAAAATGACTCCTAGAGCATCTAAACGATAATAGTACTGATAAAATGACTCCTAGAGCATCTAAACGATAATATAAAGTTTAGTGTAAATTGATATTTTTAACCCCAAATTGATCCCATTTTGGAGGGAAAAATGTATTATGAAATAGTGATTTTTTTATAAATATATGGGTAAAAGTAAGAATTTTTTTGAAATACGTGTATAATGATTTTATGGGATGATGTGGTTAAAAATGAGATTTGAAAAAAATACATTGTTGAAAAAATGAGACTCAAATAGGGGTATAAAGTATTTTTGTGATGTGAAATAGGTCTAAATTATGATTTGGATATTTGAAGTGGTCGAAATTTTCTCCAATAAAAAAATGAAAAGAAAGTGCAAATTATATTTTTCTACGAAAATATCCACAAGAGGCGAAAAGAGGATTTAATTTTTTTCATTTGAACAAAATTTGGATTTAAATCTATTGGGATGTAAACGAGGATGCAAATGTGATACTAAAAATACTAATTTACATTCAATTTTACACCATCATCGGAGATACACTTAAATTACTTTTTTATTTTTATTTACATGTTGATGGATTTAAATCCAAATTCCACCCCAATGAAAAGATCTAAAAAATTGGGTGCAAGTGAATTGATAGCTTTTTGCCTCTTAACTTACAATTTTGATTTAATTTAAAGCACCATTGGAGATGCACTTATTTGTTAAAGTGTCTAGAATACCTATCCTAAAACTCCAATGACAAAATAAACCATGGTGATCGAGTATCCCAAACATAGCTCTTAGAGTTAGATTATAGAAACGTAGGATAAACCGACAAGAGCTGCACCCAACATCTTGCTATAAAAATAGCTATCCTTTCAATAACTAAAGTATTCGACTAGAGCACGTCTCCATCTCTATTAATAGTTTCATGGACAACCCTTAGAGCATCACTTTTACGCATACCATTATGAAGCGATAAATCCTTAGCTCTTCGAAGATTGTTCGAAGAGAAAGTAATTCTAGCACCTTTGAATTAATAGATCTACCCAAAAGTCCTTTGCTAGTCGCAATCGTATCACCACGGACCCCAAATCCCCAACCAAATCACTCCCTCCTAAGTCCTCAATGGCGTACACATTAAGTTTGAGAAACTCTTGAGATGGGACATACCACTTGGTCGATATATATTACATTGAAATTAAGGTATAAAATGAATGTATCATAAAGAGCATGCCATAAAATAAGCACAATGATAAACAAATATGCTTGTATAAATTTCAAGAATCAAACTTTGTAAGAGAGAAATATGTAATACCCCAAAACCCTTCATGGCTTATGATGCTACCAAAAATCGTACCTGTAGATTTTCCGAGCTTGATGACTGGTGAGGAGCACGAACGTGATCTTCCGATACCTGAAACAAAGGCAACAAGGTGTGTTCTCGTCGCCCCTCCGATGCTTAAGTCAGAAAGGGAAATATATGCGTGAGGCTATGTGCTGAAGAACAATGTCAAACGTACCTGAATAATGGCCCAAGGTTCTGCTTTTATAGGAGTAGGTAGTGTACTCCTAGTAGGATTGTGTTGGTTGGATGTTTTTATCCAAGGGAATTTCTATTATAAAGAATGTCCTACTTGTAATGGAATTGTTTGACAAGTGGTGTTAGGGTTGATGTAAAATCCTTGGGTGTTTAGGTTTGTTAGTTAGGTACCCAGGTCTTAGGAGGTATGTTGGTGGTGTATGTCTCGAGGACTATTCTTGAGGACATTGAGGGAATGTAAATGTGTCCTCGAGGTATCTCGAGGACTACAATATCTCGAGGACTTAGATGACCTCGAGGACCGAAGAAGAGAAATGAGGTGGGGTATAGATTGAGTCCTCGGGATACACTCCTCGGAGTATATCAATATTGGCATAGTCATCTACTATTAATTAAATGTTAAAGGAGATAGCCTGGTTTTTGAATTTATTATAATTAACGAAACCAATGCTGATATAAAAAATTTAACAAGATTATAGTGGTGGGGTCTTTTTTCTTGTATTTTGTAAATATAAAGGATTTTCTTCTGGTAATCGTTGCATTGAGGGCCACAGAAAGATCTCAAAACCCTAAGAAACGTATCTTCGTCTAAACTCCATTAAAACGTATATTATTCTTTAAGAACTCCATTGGAGTACAAGATTTGATCTGAGAATCTTTGATAATCTACGGTTGAGATGTTTTCTTTACAACAAGGCTATGAGCTGGTGTTTCAGTCCCCTTTAGTTTATCAATCAGATCAAATCCTTCAAGATCTGACTATGGATCATAGTCTTAATACCAGCAGCGGGGAGAAGGGGAAACAAAAATCAGTCAGTATTCAAGAAAACAAGGGTGAACGTACTCTTGATGAATCCTATATTAGGAAACTTGTACATAGAGATATTGAACGGCAGAGAAGGCAAGAAATGACTAAGCTTTATGCTTCTCTTCGATCACTTGTTCCTCCCGAATACCTAAAGGTGAATTCATCATTTATCACTATACTTATTTTTAAGGATTTACGATAACGATAACCCTAAATTTATTAGGAGCAGAAGACTGTTTTTTTCTTCTTAATGTATGATTTTCTTCTCTTTTTTTATTATTAAATATACGCATCTAACATGGTATTCATGGTGTTCTAGGGAAAGCGGTCGATATCAGATCACATGCAAGAGGCAATAAATTACATAAGAGATATGAAGAATAATATCAGGGAACTACAAATTCGGAGAGACAAGCTAAAGAAGTTTTCTAATTCAGGCAACCTAAGTGCCGAGGTTGGAAGTTCCACTTGTTATTCTACTGATTCAGTCATGGTGAACCCTTGCCTTGATGGCATGGAAATTGTAATCAGTTGCAGCTTCAAATTAGGTATGTCTTTTGATCTTCGTGCTCTCCGGAACTTTGTCAGCACAAGGGGAGGCGCCCCTCCACAGGGGCAGCCCTCGAGGAAGAAAAGCAAGAAGAGGC